ATATTTCTGTTTGCAAATCAAATCAAAAATATTTTTGGGAGAATCATTAGCAAAACTGAGGAAGAGTGGGTCATAAGGCTCACACCTGAAACTACACGTGCCAGTGTAGGGGTGGATTGGGATTATTCCCCTTATTTGGGATGAAATTGGAACCTTCGGGAAATTGTGATGTTATTACCCTTAATTGGGATGAAACTGGAACCTTTGTGGATTGGAAAAGTCAACCCACACGGCATATGTAGGAAGGCGGCCTAGATGATCGGGTGGAGATCAGACGCCATATTGCGCATATAGTGGTACTACTCTTGGTAACAACTTTCTTTCACATCACATGTCAAACCACATTGTTCGTGGGGAGATGGCCTAACCGATCGGGCGTGATCGGAATCCGTGCGAGCAAAGATGGTGGTATATCGGTGCTAATGATCTCCCAACCAAAATTATATATAAAGTTCGTATTTTAAAAATTATTATGTTTTAACTGAACATTCGGATATTGTTGATTATGACTTGCTATTTCTATGTGTTGTCTTTTCTTATATGGGCATTTTATTTTGAAAGAGGACTTTTAGCTATGTATACTAGTGATATTTGACAGTACTAACATCCCTTTTGCCGGGGACGCTGCATCTTTAATGGATGCAAGTGGTTCTACAGGACGCGACATTGATCAGTGATAGCATCGCACTCTTTTGAGCTGATTTGGTGAGCCCCACTTCATTTTGGGGTCATGTATCTTTTGTTTCTCATGTACTGTGTTTTGAGGTATAGTCGGGGCCTTGTTGCCGGCATTTTCATATTACTCTTCTATTGTATTTAGAGGCTCCGTAGACAAGTTGTGGGTTGTGGTTGAAGTTGGGAATTGAACTAGAAATATTGGTATTTGAAAATCATGTTTTTCATTAATTCTATAAGCTCGTAATATTTTTTTTGGAAATTATGAATGAAGCTGCTAATGGGAATGAAAAGGAAGTTGTTAATAAAATCTTTTCAGTGATTGATTAATGGAGTATATCTCATCTTTATTCATGGATGAGTTTGGGTAGAAGAAAATCTAACATGCTTGCTCGGCCGGTTTTTCTCGGTTGAGCGCCGGTCGCGCTCCCCGAGTTTGAGGCGTGACAAAGAGGTACATCTTATTTAGGAACTTCATCAACTTTAGGAGGATCATCAACCTTGGGAAGAGTAACCTTAGGAACCTTAGGACTCTCTTGACCTTAGGAAAAGCATATTTGAGAGGCAACTCCTCTTCATCATCATCATCATCCTCAACTACAATGGATCTATTCTTTAGGATTTTGCCCTGTCTCGTGGAAACGACAAACACACGCTTTATTCCCTCGTCACTCTTTGGATTTAAGATTGTATCACTCGGCCTCCATTGTCCTTGGCTAGATCCTTGATAATTACCTCGTTGATTTTGATTAGTTGCTCACAAATTGAACTTCCTCATTTTGCTCTTGATAATAATCATCTTGAGTGTAGTATCCATCATCTTGTGAGTGCATCTTCCCTTGAGGATGATGTTGATTACCCTTCATCCTTAGATCAAGACATGAACACCTTCCACGACATGTACTTACCACGATGTTTGAGTTTGTTAAAGTTGCACTTTTGTAGGTTGATTCATAGTGGTGGTCAACTCGGCAATGACTTGACCATGATCTCTCACTTTCGAAAGAGAGTCTCGACGTGGCGGTGTAGACCTAGCTCCATAGCTGGGCTAGTCACTGGCTAGAGGGCGATCAGCCTACCAGACCGGAAGCAGCCGAGAATGCACCGTGAATGCTTAGCCAGAATAGACCAAGCTAAGCAAAGAGAAACTTATCCCAAGCATAACATCAACTATCATATCTTCCCTACTGCTATAAAGGATGCAACTCCTTGTTGAGGTGAATCATATTCAGATCCCCTTGAGGCACATTTGCTCGGGATTGCCAAGCAGGTGATGTATCCGCCATCTCATCAAGTATGGCACAAGCCTCCGGGTAAGGCGTGGTCATGAAGTTTCCATCGGCAAATTGGTTCACTATATATTAATTGGTTGTATTAATCCTATGGTAGAAGGATTTTTGCAACATGTTCTCCGTCATATCATTGTTAGGGCATTCTTTCACTATGGTTCTATAGAGTTCCCAAATTTCATGTAGTGGCTAATTCGGTTCTTGCTTAAATGCCAAGATTTTATCCCTCAAAGTAGCCATGTGCCCAGGTGAGAAGAGTTTGGCAATAAACTTCACCGTCAACTCATCCCAAGTATGGATAGAATGGTTTGGTAAGCGTTCTAACCAATCCAAGGCTTTTCCCCTTAGGGATAAAGGAAATAACCTCAATTTCAAAGCGTCTTTGTATACATTTATTTGCTTACTTCCCCAACAAGCATCTATGAATCCCTTTAAGTGCTTGATGCATTTTGATGAGATGCTCCGGTGAAGTAGCCTCTTTGCTCAAGCAAGGTGAGCATTACATTTGTAATTTAAAAATTGCCCGCCCCAATGCGAGAGGGGACAATGGCGCCCGCATAGCCATCATTTAGTGCGGCATATTGTTGAGTCGGTTGGCCATGTGGAGCTGGTAGTGGCGGAGGCGGCAGAGGTTGATGTTGGTTTTGCCCTCGACCACGCTGGTTTCCGTGAACCGAAGTCGCTTCTTCATCTATCATATCTTTATCAATGGCCCTAAGAGGAAAATCACCAAGGTCATTGTTGTTCGCCATTGATAACCTGCAAAAAGCACACACGAATTAATGTATCACGAAGATAAAATAAGAACTCAAAAAAATACACAATAACAAAGTAACACAAGAACACCGTACTATTCGGCAATGGCGCCAAAAATTGATGACGTCCAATCCTACACCTCTAAAAGAAGCGTAGCACGGTCGTTAGCAATAATAAACCCAATAAGGTTAGTGTCGAATCTCACAAGGAGTAGGTGTGTGTTAGAGTGTCCAAATATGTATAAACTTGATAATTCTTTATGTAATCTTCAAACAAAGAATGATTGTTCAATTACTTCTAAAGTTACTTCTGAAATTACTATGTAAACTAGTCTAAAATTTTTATCGAATACTTAGAATGCAAGTAAGATGTAATTCTAACAAACAAGAGAAAGGTGCTAGAATTGCTTCCCCTTCATGTAGGCTATGCTTTTGGGTATACAAATGTTCAATTCTAGTTAATTATGTTATGACCTCAATTTCTAATCTACCTACTTAATGTCTTCCAACACTTAAGAGGTTTCTAACCCAAATTGCTCTTCCAAGACAACTAAGGCTCAATTATAAGCAATTGATTAGCCCAAGTAGAAATTACATTATTCTTAGCTAGATTTCATTAATCAAGTGATTAACCCACTTAATTCCTTGCTAATTACTTTGTACCTAAGCTAAATTTCACTTTTCCAATATAGAACAAGCAAAATAGGCATGGATCTAGTGTTTGCAACCACAAAATCAATCAATAAAGCACAGAGTAATTAGATAACACAAAACTTAATGAAAACTAGAATTTATATTAATAACCCAACAACATAAGTACACTTAAGGTTCATAATCCTAACTTAATAAACTTAGCTAGACATATTAAGGAAGAAAAATACAAAAAGAGATGAAAATCTAAACATAATAGCTAAAGAGGAAAGAAAGATTGTGTAGAACAATGGTGAAGTCACCCAAAATCCCAAAGAAGAAATCTCCAAAGTTGCTACACAAGTATTCTTGCCAAAAAAATACCCTAGAATGACTTAAAATAACTATTTATACTAAGTCCTAAAAGTGAATAAAATTGCCCTATAGTCAATTGTGTAGGCCGGATGCATGGGCTTAAGCTAACTGCGTAGCCTACGCAAGCTTGAACACTTCATATTTTCTTTTGCGTAGGATATCTGCATAGCCTACGCAACCTGCGTAGGCAAAACAGAATGTCCTTAAAGCTTTACTTCTCAGGTTCTTCCTCTGCGTAGGCTACGCAAGGCTACACAGAGTATTCAGCTCAAACTTCAACTTTTCTTCATTTTTTCACTTGGACTTGATCTTTTCTTGATATTTTTGATTCCTTTTTATTCTTTAAGCGTACTCAAATCTCCAATACATGAAATCAAGCCATTCAAAGCATAATTAATCCATTTTTTTTCAATAAATGGGACATAAAATTCTATAAAAACACAAGAGACTTTGGCTAAAAAGCCAACTTATCAGTTATATGTACATTATTTGTGATTCAACTTGCAACACATAACATTTCTTGTATTAAATATTATGCGAGTGTCCCTTATTTTATATTTTTGTTTGACAAAAGTATATTATGATCTAATTCTTTCATGCCACTCAACCATTTAATTTAAGGCTCAACATGAAGAGTAATACTATAAATGAAAAAAATATTAAATATTAGAAAGTATAATTAAAAGTCATTTCTCTTATGGCTTTTTTTGTCCAAGATATGTACAATACCTTTATTATAGTACTTTCTACATAATTAAGCAACACTTTTCATTTTATTCGATGATTCCAGTCATTTATTTTTACAAGTTTGCAAAACTATTTGAAGAAGCATGAATTATATAGTACATTCATAAAATAATGAAATAAGCATATAATTTTACCACAAAATATAAGTAAAAAATAAGTCACAAAGATTAAAATTTTCTACTCGTAAATTAATATAAGCTTGTTTTGCCAAGCTTTCGTATCATTTTTTTTATAATTTTATCAAAAATATTTTTGGAGAAAATCAGCCAAATATGAATCGTTTAACTAACATCGAAAAATGTTTTATGAATGGATTGATGAACATAAGCTGCTATCTTCCAAAGTAAATTTATGAAAAGTTATTTTTTTCAAAAGTGGTTACAAAAATAAGTATATTTTGAACGTTTGGTAAGTGATTTTAAATCTTGAAAAGAGAAAATTTACGTAATATTTGAAATTATACTCTAATTCTTTTTATTTCTCTCTTTTCCTCTCGTAGGGGTTTTACTTTCTAACTAAACTACTGTTCTAAAATCTAAACCCCTGAACTGAAGTTCCCAAATTATCAGCTGCCAATACCAAGTTGTAGGGTTTACCCCCAAATATTCATTCCATAATTCATTTACATCCCCTCTATTTTATTTCCTTGTTAACTTCAGGTCCTATTTTCCTCTTCAACCAAACACCTGCTGAGTTTCACTCATAGCTTCATTCTCCGCAGTTTAGGGTTATGGAAAAAGATGCATCTTTTTTGTTTGGCGGCATCACTTTCAATCGTAAAAAGTTTGCCACCGATTTTGACAGGTTTAAGGTAATTTTCGTCCTAAATACCCGAATAAAAGAGCTAAATTGTTGTTACATATGATTCTGCAATTATAGGTTTGAGTTTTTGTTGATTTTTACATTGCAAAAGTTCTTACTTTAGTGTAATCTGATGCATATAATAGAAACCTAGTTGATATTTTTGTTACAGTTTTTGTTGATTTTATATTGCAAAAGTTCTTACTTTTGTGTAATCTGATGCATATAATGGAAACCTAGTTGATATTTTTGTTCCAGTTTTTGTTGATTTTACATTGCAGAAATTGACACGAATTTTGACAGTTTGTTTTAAAAGAATAAAAAAGGAATCCTGAGTTCCTCTGAATCGTCTCTATGTAGCATTTGCATATTTCTTGTTTCAATTTCATTTTTTTTAGAGATCTTAATTATTTCTAGTTGTGTATATCTGTATTATAATGAAGATTTCTTTTATATTTAACATAGGAGCATAAAACAAGGGACAATTCATTAGAGAAGCTGGAGTTCGTTGAAAATGAAAAATCTGAAATGGAAGATGAGACAAATACCCGTGTGGGTAAGAAGAGGAAGAGAAAGGAGAAAGGAGTAGTTCCTGGTAATTTTGTTTTTTGTCTTCTATTGAGCTTCTCATTTATTTCTTTGTTCCCAGTATAGATTGGGTACTAAAGTTCGCTGCTTTGCCCTTTCTCCTAATTCATGGCATTGGTTTGGTTTTAGACTCGGTGGACGGATTTTCCGTCTTCAAGAATTCGAAATTGCAAAAGGAATCTGCCAGTGAAGAGAATGATCAATCTGCAAATGAATTGCTTGAGGGAAAAAAAGAATATTATCGGCAATTGGAGGTTTGTTTCATTTTCTTCTAGGAAGTTGTTTTGTTGTGTTCATGAATTACTATGAACTTTTTTTTGAAGAGATATATTTCTTTTGCTCCTATGATTTTGTGGCTTCAGAGGGATGCAATTTTCCGGAAGTTACATGGCATTCATGCTTCTGGAAGTAATGTCCCTTCGCCATTGCACAGTTTTGCAGAATTAAGATCAAGGTACTCTGTCACGCTTTTTGTTGATTTTTAGTTTGGAGACACTTATCCCACCATCTTCGTTGCTCTTGATTGTCTCGTCTTTCACTATTGTCAAATATTTCAGATGCTTACTTATTTACAGTAGTATATCCAACCGTGGAACAATTCGATCAAGTTAAGGAAGTTACATTTAGTGAAACACCTAACAAAGCCTTAGTCCATTCATTTTAGTTAACACTTTCTATGTCTCCTTCAATTTAATTGTATGTGTGTTAAAGCATTTTGTTGTGATGTGTTTAAAGCAAGAACACGATGTGACAGGATGTTGATGAACATTTTAAGCTCCTTTTGATTGATCTTAGCATGCAAAATAAAGTAGGCAGTAGGCTAATGAAGATTTTGCTGTTTCTCCTGCAATTATGGTATCTGTTGTTATCCATTCCAATTTTGTTCTCATTTTGCCTGGGGAATGGTTGGGGAAGAGGGCTCAATTTAGAAGGCTCATCTTAAAGAGCATACGTAGCAGGGTTAGAGGGCTCATCTATCATGCACGGTTAGATGATTTTATTCTCAGGGCTACTCTTATTTCGTCCTGTCATCTTTACCTGTGTACTGTGCTTTTTTGGGGCGGAATTGCCATTGGTGATAAAATGAGGTAAATTCTGCAATTCTGGCGAGGAACCTCTTTCCTAACTCTCCTTTCGGAGTATTCTTCTTTGTTTCACATTCCGTTTCATGAGAGAAAACAATAAAAACAACAAATCTAGTATAATGCCACAAGTGGGGTCTGGGGAGGTTAGTGTGTACGCAGGCCTTAACCATACCTTGAGAAGGTAGAGAGGGGTTTCCATAGACCCTCGGCTCAAGGAGAGATGAAAAGAAAGCAGTAGCAACAAGCAGAAACAATAACAAGATAATAAGAAAACGAAGCGAAAGAAACAACATATAGTAATAGAAATCTAAGAATAATAGAATACAAGACTAACACTAAAACTGCTGGTATGGAAAAGAAAAATGCTCGACTACCTACTATCCCTCCACACAAAATTTGTTGTGATGAGCAAGTTGCTTTCTCTGTGTTCATCAGTCAATTTATTGTTGCCTGCACTTGACTTTCCCTCTGTCCTCTCTTTGACCCATGTTCTGTTTGTATATGGTTATACAGATATAAATGTCGATTATATCTATTACGCAACCTGGCAGAACTGGGATTTAAAGAACCAACACCAATCCAAAGACAGGCTATTCCAGTCCTCTTATCTGTATGATCTTCCTTGANATGATCATTATCATTTTCTATGAGAAGTTGTTGGACATCTGACAGCCATCTTTCTTGATCAGGATACTTCAAATGATGGTGTCCGAGCTGTAATTCTTTCCCCTACAAAAGAGTTAGCTGCTCAGACTACAAGAGAATGCCGAAAGTTGGCTAAAGGGAAGAAGTTCTACATCAGGTTGATGACTAAAAAGCTCGCTAAAAGTGGAGACTTTTCTAAACTGCGATGTGATATACTCATCTCGACACCATTGCGCTTACAGTTTGCTATCCGCAAAGGAAAGCTTGATTTAAGTAGGTATGTTTCTCTCTGATAAAAAAGTAGGTATGTTGCTCATTTTCTAGTGGTCAAACTTTCATGTGCTAGTGTTGGCATTTCAAAGTTTAATCTTCTTGATATTAGATAAGTCTGGACTCTGGAGTCTTGTTAAATAAGATTCTAGAAGGCGATGAAATGGTAGATCCCAGGATGAATGCATAACTTGAACTGTAATTCATAATAAAAACCAATTGATGAAGCTCAGGGTCTGGTGTAGATATGCAAGGATTTCAAAGATTTTCTCTTTGTTTTACTACTATATTTGCACAATCACACTGAGATTTGAATATTTGCATGCTGAATTAGATGTAGAGGAGTATATGCCTCGGCTTTTACTGTGTAGACGTATAAAATGTTGCTATTTAGAATTTGGTGTGAAATATAGTCCATTTTTAATCAGCATTAGGACGCCTTTTCACCAACTCCTTTTGGGTGCAGGGTTGAATTTCTTGTCTTAGATGAATCTGATAAGCTTTTTGAGCCTGGCTTGCTAGAGCAGGTTGATTTTGTGGTGAACGCGTGCACAAATCCTTCAATTCTTCGGTCGTTGTTCAGTGCTACTTTACCTGATATAGTTGAAGACAGAGCACGTACAATAATGCATGATGCTGTTCGAGTCATTATTGGTAGGAAGTAAGTACTAATAGGCCTTTGGCAGATGTATTTTAAAACTGCACTGAAGTGAACGGTTGTTTTGGGCTGTTTGTACATTTTTTCTGTTGTTTCTTGGTGAAGAAGAAGAAAAATTGTCTGCCTCTTCCGTCCTTTCTCTCCTATTTCTGTCTCTCTGTGTTAGCGAATGCTTACTTGGCTGCTTTGCATTTCTGCAGAAATTCTGCTTCCGAAACAATAAAGCAAAAGTTGGTATTCGTAGGGAGTGAAGAAGGAAAACTTCTAGCTCTTCGTCAAAGCTTTGCAGAGGTATGATCCTCATGTCGCTTAGTTATCTGAATTGGTTGTATACCTCTTTTGCGGTGATTGAAGGTTGCCTCCACCATAATTATAACTTGCAGAACAAAATTTACATGAGTGATTTGCATATGGATATAACATTTACTGTCTAATTATCACATTTGAAGTACTCTAGTATATTGTACGGTCATTATGTGCCTCTCAGTCTTTTCATGTTTTTTTTTCCTGCTGAATTGATCTTTTCATTCCCAGAAGATGGGCACTAGCTGACACGACTTGGTGTGCAGCCATAGTTTTGCTGATATTTTGAGGATCTCAATGTTTGATGATTTCTACATTTTTCTTTCCTTTTCCTCACACTATACGAAACTCTCGTTTTCTTTGCTGCTTTTAGATTACCATTTTGCTACCATCTTACTGTTATGTAAGCGAATCATTTTTTCATTTGATAGGAAAAGGAGTATTACTACCTTGAAAAGAATAACATCCCAGTATACACGAGTTATACACAAAAAAGGCCTAAAAACATATTGCTTGAAACAAAGTTCATCCAGTTGTCTATATGATGCGGTATGCTATGTCTGCTCGAAAAACTTATAAAGAATAAAGAGAGTGTTGGATTACCGCAGCTGGATCTAGGAACACAGCTTTAGACTTTGGCAGGGAGTTTTAGAAAGATGTGAAAAAAGGTTGGCAAGGTGGAAAGTTGATACTTTGGTTTTTGTTTTGGGTGGTGGTGGTGGNTGATGTCCTTATTTCTCTTAACAAAGTGGAGAAGAGGTTGGACAAACTAAGAATGGATTTTCTTTGGAAGGGCAAGAGATAATAGAACTTTCCATTTTGTGAAATGGAATTCCTTTACACTTTACAAGACGGAAGGGGTTTTAGGAATCAGAAAATTAAAACAATATAACTGCACTTACTGATGAAACAGTCGTGGAGATTCACTTCAGAAGAACATGCACTATGGAAGGAAGTAATCAGTGTAAAGTATGGGTCTCAAGGTTCTTGGACTATGAAAGTAATGACTACAGCATATGGGATGGGTTTATGGAGGAGTATTAGAGATCTTTGGCAAAACTTTGTCAGTAATATTGGATTTGTAGTGGGTGATGGAAGAGGATTGCTTTTTGGGATGATAACTGGATTGGGCATACTCCCTTAAAAAATGTATTCCCTGATCTATTCAGACTTATTGTTTTACCCCATCCGGAGCTGCCGTAACTTGGGATCATCATGCTATATCGTGGGGAAGGAAAAATGAGCAGTTTACGCTTTAGTACTGGTGCTATTGTGGCCTTGGGGGGAGAATCTGGAAAACAAATACCCCTTATAAGGTGGCACGTTTAACCTGGTTGGTGGCTAGAAGTGTTGCATTTGTGGAAAAGAATCTGAGAATGTCAATCATCCATTTTGCATTGTCATGTTACTGATCAATTGTGGTAGCTGTTTCTTAACATGGTGGGGCTTAAATGGAATAGCTATTCAGACTTATTGTTTTACCCCATCCGGAGCTGCCGTAACTTGGGATCATCATGCTATATCGTGGGGAAGGAAAAATGAGCAGTTTACGCTTTAGTACTGGTGCTATTGTGGCCTTGGGGGGAGAATCTGGAAAACAAATACCCCTTATAAGGTGGCACGTTTAACCTGGTTGGTGGCTAGAAGTGTTGCATTTGTGGAAAAGAATCTGAGAATGTCAATCATCCATTTTGCATTGTCATGTTACTGATCAATTGTGGCAGCTGTTTCTTAACATGGTGGGGCTTAAATGGAATATGCCTAGAGATACTGTGAACTTTTGAAGTGATGGAACATTAAAGGAGGAGGTAGAAGCAGAAGAAGTGGTGGTATCCTATTCTTGCATGTATATGGTGAACTATTTGGAGAGAAGAAATGACAGATGCTTTGAAAACAAAGGAAAAATCTATTCAGAAGCACTTCTGGTGTAAACAGAACTTTGTAAATGAAGCTGAAGCAAATGATAGATCTTGTAGAATCCCTTTAAGAATAGGAAGGGATTCACCTTAGAAATCTCTGTAAATACACTTTCGAACAGTGCCTTTTTGTTTTTGTTTTTTTTTAAATTTTTAAAAAATGTAATGATAATTCTTCACATTTTGTTGGGGTTTTACTAATTCATTGCACTCTCTGGGTGCTATTCTTCTTGGTACACTACATACATGTGAAAAGAACTGAGGAAATTAACCGTCCTATCTACTTGTACATTTTCATTTTTACACCAAAAAGCTAAGAGAGCTAAACATATATTATGTTTTAAGGTACAAATATTTTCCTTTTTGCCCTCAAAGTACCTTTATAATACACTTACCATTCTCAAATAGAAAAGTGTGTTTGATTTGTGTATAAAGTGTCAATATCAGCGTTCTAGGGGCAATCTCAATGAGTACTTCTATTCTTGATTCCTTCGAATCACATTCTATTCAATGCTCAATTGCATTTTCACGGCTAAGTTTGGTACTTTTATATTGTGATATCATAGTGTGATCATTTGGGAAATCTTATCATCTGTGCTAATTGTGGTAGTTATCTTGTTGCTGTTTTGTTAAGCTGATCTATGATCAACATTTACAATGATTTGGTAACTGATAACATATACCAAGCTCATCTTATTATTGTTTTATTATATTTGTAGAGATTGAGTCCACCGGTGCTAGTATTCGTTCAAAACAAGGAGCGTGCAAAGGAGCTATATGACGAACTAAAATTGGAAGATTTTCGAGCTGATGTTATCCATTCAGATCTTTCTCAGACACAGGTAATTCTGGCATGGCTTCTTCATTTTCTACATCAACGGGTGGTTCATCACGGAGAAGGGGATGTCTGTTTTAGTCTAAAATCAGAACACACTTTAAGAGGAAGATAATTTTGTGACTGCCTGTAATTATTATGTTCATTTCAACTAAGCATTTATCAGTCTATTCGTTCTTTGACCACTGGATTATGGATGGCCAGGATCACAAGAGTGTTATTTTGGTTGCTTTTATTGGTTCCTTTTTTTGAAATCAAGGTCGAAAACTGGAGCTTAGAGTCTGATGTTGACTTGACCACCCAAAGAAGAGAGCTGATTTCATCAGGAAAGATGGAGATACCTGCTCTGCAATTTTACCTACTTAGGAGGGACTTCTAATTATTTATGGATGCATTGCTCCAAATAAATGAGCCACCTTAGACCTTTGATTTAAATATGGGAATTAAGTTTTTTATATATTTCTGGGGTTGGTTTTAACTGCAGGACTTTTTTTGGTATTATTTATTTGATGAAGTTTGATAGAAAAATTTATGTGGATTTTTAAGTGCAGGGTTATGGTTTATATTCGCTTGATTAATTTTGTGTGCTGCTGTATTGGACACTAATTCTGGTTCCTACTCACTTCAATTATATGCAGAGAGAAAATGCTGTTGATAACTTTAGAGCTGGAAAAACATGGGTTCTAATTGCCACGGATGTTGTGTCCCGGGGAATGGATTTCAAAGGGGTCAATTGCGTAATAAATTATGATTTTCCAGACGCTGCTGCAGCATACATTCACAGAATTGGTAAACATCGAACCTAAATTTGGCTTCTACTACTTTATATAGTGATTTATAACTTCATGACTTCCCAAAACATTTAGCATGGTCTCGCTAATATGTTGATCATCAACCATCATTGTCCTACGATGAATTACAACAGTTTCCACTGTTCACTGAAAACTGCACGGTGTGATTCTTGTAAATAGGACGTACCGGAAGAGCAGGAAGAAGAGGAGAGGCGATTACATTTTATACTGAAGCAGATATTCCTTTTTTGAGGAACATAGCAAATGTTATTACTTCTTCTGGTGGTGAGGTTCCCGAGTGGATTATGTCAATGACCAAGAAACAGTGGAAGAAACACAGGCCACAAAGAGAAACCATTTCAACTCAGCCAGACATATGAAGCAACCTCCCAGTTTTGACACCATTATATCAAAGCTCCTTTATATAATTTTGATGTATGATTCTTTTTGTAATTTTTGTTATGTATGAATTTGGATTGGTGTTTCTTGTGACATGTTCACCTTAATTGGTAGAGAAATGAATGTTGTCCTTTTTAACTTAATTGGTGATTGGCAGGTTGAGCTGAGTTTTTTGGTTGACGAAAAACTCTTTTAGTCCTTGCTCCTCATTAAGTAATGGAGTTTCTTCAAGTTAGTTCGTGGAGTTTTCAACTTCACTTGCAAATAATTTTTAAAAAGTTGGTTTTTGTTTAAGCTTTTTAACAACAACAAACCCGCGTAGTTGGCGAGGTGACCTCTTTTCAAACTTGAATTGGCCAAGTGACCTTCAGGTTTTAATTATTGTAGGATTGACCTTCATGCTTAATTAATGGTTAAGTGAGATTATAAAGTGAAGGGTGGAAGTTGAGTCTTTATCCCTAAAGTTTCAGTTATTATACTTTGCCCCCAACCTATATAAATGTAATATTATCAGATTTAAAAAAAAGAAAAGAAAATCCATCCCTTCCCGCCTCATCTGCCCCAATCCCCATTTCCCACGGCTGATTTTGCAGTTTGTTTTTCTTGCATTCAGCACATAGAGGTCGTCTCCTTCTTCCCCATTTCTCTCAAAGCTTCATTCTTTTGATTTAACATTTACTTTGAAGAAATCGACAAATTGGGGTTTTTTCGGATCTGTCGAATTTGGGGAAGAAATTGGTGGTACATTGGATTGATAATTCATTCCAGGTGGTATATTGTGTACCTCCTTCATCTGGTAAGTGCTTTCATCTCATCTTCTTCGTCATTATTAATTTGGGTTTCTGTAAATTTTTTCTGCACGATGCTCGACCACTAGTGTACAATAGACCACTGGTTCACAATAGACTAATGGGAGATTGTATATTAGTATGCAATCTATATTCTGGTGAATGAGTTGCGGGGCCAACTAGTTGGAATTGAAATTCCCATACAAAGGTTACAGTACCTATCCGTATATCTTGTAATTGTACATTTGACGAATTTGTTGATGTCATTATTAAATGTGGAAAACTAACATGTTCCCCAAGGAATTTGAATATTACATATATGCTTAGCTCTGCACCGAAAAGGGACAAGATTCCTCCTTCCTTCGTTAAGAATGACAATGATTTACAATGTACCTCCTTGATGTTACAATTGATGGTATGAGGCCTTGTTTGAAGATATTTGTGGCTGAAAATGAGTTTTAAGAAGGGATTGAAGTTCCTGTTGAAAGGTCTCGTCAAGGTTCAAATGGCGTAGCTTCACCACCACCACTACCACCAATTTTAGAAGTAGAGGAGGAAAGAATGGTGAAAGATGGCTTCAGTGGATTTAGTGATGACTTGCATGATTTTGGTGACAATGAAATGAATTCGTATGGTATGGAAGATGCAGATGGAGCGGAAGAGCTCCCAGATATTGTCAGTCGGGCAGCTGGAGATGAAGGCTTGGTGGATTCGTTAGCTACACAACACACCCACCCCGATGGTACATGTTTTTTCCTTGGAAAATATTTTGACAACAAATGGATCTAATGAAACAGTTGGAGATTGCTTTTGTGAAAATGCATTTTATGTTTCGTATGAATAAGAGTAGCAGTAAATTAACTTCAGTGGCATGCCAAGATGTGAGTTGCCCGTGGAAGTTACGCGCTTTAAAGTATGCGAGTTCTGATAGGTCTTATATTACCAAGTACCATGGCGAGCACACATGCGGGGTACACCATATATCAAGCCGTCATCCTAACGCATCGTCGAAGACTTTGGGTGTATATTACCATGAACGGTATGTTAGTGGCAAAGGCCCATCCCTGTCATATCTGAAAGATGCTATGTTTTGCAGATTTTAATCAAAATCTTACTTATTGGAGGAGATGGAAGGTAGGTGAAATAGCTCAGGCTATGATCAGAGGTACTCAGGAAGAAGGGTATGCTTTATTGGAAGCGTATCGCCATGTTATGCTGTCCTATAATGAAGGAAGTATTCTTGATTTGAAGCTTGATCATAAATTGTATTTTCGATATTTTTTCTTATCTATTGGAGCTTTCATTAAAGGATTCGCGCATATGAGAAAGGTTATTGCCGTTGATGGGACATTTCTGAGTGGCAGGTATGAAGGCTGCTTGTTGTCTGCTGTGGCACAAGATATAGAGAATCAGATTTTTTCAATTGCGTTATGTGTAGTCGATGAAGAGTGCGATGATTCTTGGACCTACGTTTTGAACAGTTGCGGCACATTGTTGACGACAATGATGAATTCTGCATTATCTCTGATCGACATCTGTCTATTGGGAATGGCTTCAAAAACGTTTTTTCTGCCGCTCATCATGGTTTTTGCATGCGTCACATTGCTGAAAATATGCGCAAGAGGTTTCATTGTAGAATTTTATTAATCATTTCTTTTTTGCCACACAGTCATACATTACTGAGGAGTTCTTTGACCATTTTCAGCAATTGCGTGATAAAAGCAGGGAAGTAGCTAATTGCCTCACAAATGAAATTGGGTTCCAAAAGTGGAGCAGGGTCTTCTTTCCAGGAAACCGATACGGCGTGTTGACAACAAATATTGCAGAATCGCTTAACGCAATGCTTAAGGATCAAAGAGACTTCCCGATCATTAGCCTATTCAATCTTATTATTCAAAAGTTTACAGAAAAATTCGAGGAGCGGCGTAATGAAATAAAAAATGTTTTGACCCTCTTTGTTCCTTCTGCTAAAAAGAAGATTAGGAATAATAGGGTTGTCGGCGACGCGCTCCGGGTGCATCAATTAGAGAACAACCAGAGCGTCGTCGGGCACGATAGGGATGCAATAGTTGATCTGGATTTGAACACATGTTCTTGTTGTCAGTTTGATTTGGAAAAAATACCTTGCCCACATGCAATGGCAGCTCTGAGATTGAGCTTTGGGGATGGATATGGTTCCTCCATTTACAATCACTCCTCTCCGTTCTATAAGGTTTCAACATATTTGGCTGCATATAAGGGAACCATTCACACAATCCCTACAGAAGAGAAATGGGTGGTGCCTGACGAGATTCAATCCACAAAAATACTTCCACCCGATGTCGAGCCTACAAAGGGTAAAAGAAAATTTAAGAGGTGACCAAGAATTTTAGAACTTAGCTCTTCTGGTTGCAGGAAGAAAGACAAATAAATATTCCATTTGCAAAGAACTTGGCCACAAGAAAACGACTTGTAATGTATTGTTGTAGCATTCTTGATCTTTTAGCTACTGGTGCTGTAATAAAGATAATTAACTCTTTTAATATTCTAAACTTGTTATTTGTAATCACTTGTTGTTTTTATTAGACTTGTTATTTCTACTATCACCTGATGCATTGTACATCATAGACTATTATTTTATGGTCAACCACCAACATTGTCTATTGCAAACCTATGATCTAGAGTAAACCCTCCCTTATTTTAAGAAGGAGTCATGCGACCAAGTTGACTCATAGACTACTGTTTTATTGTCAACCACCCACATTGTCTATTTTAAATCTATGATCTAGAATCAACCCCCTTATTTTAAGGAGTCATGTGACCAAGTTGTCTCATAGACTACTTTTTTAGAATAAACTACTCACATTATCTATTGTAGACCTATGATCTAGAATCAACCTCCTTATTTTAAGAAGGAGTCATGTGACATACTTATTTCCTGTTTTAAGATCAACCCCTTTATTCTATCTTCAACCACCTGTAATCAACCAATGTTCTATTGTCAACCCCCATCGATATTTTCAATTTAACCAAGACTAGCTGCGCTATTTTAGGTAGTCTATTGACAACCACTGGTTTAAGTAGTTAATTTAATGTCTAATATTAATAACAGTTGGCAGCCAATATGAAAAGGAGTTGTATAATTAATTGAACTACATCGAATATGCCGATGCAAAGCATTAATTCGTTTCTCAAAATACTCAACAATCACGTCATTTACGAGAAGTCATATGGAAAGGCACCCTTTAGTATCAAAATTTGCCTATAAATACACTGGATCTGATGGGAATATTTATTCATATTCCAAATAGCCCAATCACTTAACAGAGAAATGCCTCTGAGGCCAAGGCCAAGCATGAACGCCATTTTCATAAGGTAATCACTGGATAGGCTCATCCGAGAGATCCAAAAAGACAGAGTGAGGCAAGAGAGGAACATTCGCCATATAGCACGCATGCTGCGGATTTTCCTTCGTGGGGCTGATGTAAATATTGACCACTATGTTAGCCTAGAAAATTCTCCTCCCCGTGATCCTTCTCTCCCTACAGTTTAATTTTTTTTCTTTAGTTAATGGGAGAAAATATATACTGCCATGAAGGGAGTTATTTAATTAAAATATTAAGTTTTTGTCTATTTAATTTTCTGCCCTGTTTTTTTGAATTTTGTTGCCCTGTTTTTTATTTTTATCCTTTTTCGATATTTTTTCTATTTGACAACACTTAAGTGCAAAAGACCCCAAAATAAAATAAAGAGGTTCCAATAGAAACATACAACTCAGGGGATATAAATTTCAGTCTTCCAAATATTTGAATTTCCTGCCAATGAATTAAAAATTTCACAACAGTTTTTGAATAATCCTACATTATATAGTCTACCCCACTGGTGGTCTATAGATCCATTGTAAATGTAAAGCAATAGACTTTCATAGTAAAGAATTAAGAACGGTATATCAGTCATAAATTGAACATGTATAGGGGAAGTTCCTTGATTATTAGTTGTTCGTTAGTGTAAATATTAATTTAGTTATGTTAAATAAAAAAATGATAATTATTTGTGATAACTTAAAGTTGTAAACATTTAATTCAATAAATTTCAAACTTTGAATTGGATAAAATGGATTACTATAACGTATCAATTATATCGGTATCAATCTAAGCCTAAATTGGTGAAAATAATTTTCATTATATAGTCAATGAATATTATTTGAAAGTGTGCGGGAAAGACATACTTGGAGTGACTCACTAGGTTATGTAATGTCATTTTTAGAACGAAGAATATGCTCGAAGAGTGGAGGTGGAGCACGATGGTTCTTGTATACAAGAACATGGGTGATATCTAAAATTGCAATAACTATCAGGGTATCAAGCTGCTTAGCCATACTATGAAAGTCTGGGAGAGAGTGGTAGAGCTACGGGTGAGGAGGAGTATGCCTATTTTTGAGAACCAGTTCAGGTTTATACCGGGGCGTTCGACTATAGAAGCCATCCACCTTGTTAGGAGATTGATCGAGCAGTATAGGGAGAGAAAGAAGGACTTGCATATGGTATTCATCGACTTAGAATAAGCGTACGATAAAGTTCTGAGGGAGATTTTGTGGAGATGTTTGAAGGCTAGAGGTGTACATGTTGCCTACGTTAGGTTGATTAAGGACATGCATGATGGAGCAAAGACCCGAGTTAGAATGGTGGGTGGGGACTCAGACTATTTTTTGGTTATGATGGGGTTGCATCAGGGGTCGACACTCAACCCTTTTTTGTTTGCTATGGCGATGGATGTAGTGACGCGCCACATCCAAGGACAAGTGCCGTGGTGCATACTATTTGCTGATGATATTGTATTGATTAACGAGATGCAAGACGATGTGAAAGAACAAGTAGAGGTATGGAGGCAGACCCTGGAGTCTAAAAGTTTCAAGTTGAGCAGGACCAAGACAAAAACTTGGAGTATAAGTTCAGTGGCGAGACTCAAGGAGGGGAAGGGGAGGTAAGGCTGGACTCGCAGGTCATACCTAAGAGAGGAAGATTTAAGTACCTTGGGTCTATTATTCAGGGAGATGGGGAGATTGATGAAGATGTCAAGCATCATATTGGGGCGGGATGGATGAAATGGAGAGTCGCTTCCGGTATTTTGTGTGACAAGAAGGTGCCACCGAAACTTAAAGGTAAGTTCTACAAAGTGGTGGTCAGGCCAACGATGTTGTATGAGGTTGAGTGTTGGCCAGTCAAGATTGTTCATGTCCAGAAGATAAAGGTAGCAGAGATGAGGATGTTGTGATGGATGTGCGGGCACACCAGGTTAGATAGGATTAGAAATGAGGTTATTCGAGACAAGGTGGGTGTGGCCCCTATTGAGGACAAGACGCGGGAAGCGTGGCTTAGGTGGTTTGGTCATGTGAGGAGGAGGAGCACAGACGCTCCGGTGAGGAGGTGTGAGAGGTTGACATTGGAGGGCCTACAGAGAGGTAGAGGTAGGCCAAAGAAGAGGTGGGGAGAGGTGATTAGGCAAGACATGGCACAACTTCAGCTGACCGAAGACATGACCCTTGATAGGAAGGTATGGAGGTCGAGGATTAGGGTAGTAGAGTAGGTAGTCTAGAGTATTCATAAAAGTAGTATTGGCACGCAGTCTCGCTTTCTGTTGTTAGTAGGTTTTTATGACTAACCGTTGTTTTCTTTCATTGTTGATCACCTTACTATCTTGTTATTTTTATTCTGCTTTTATATGGCTTTTTGGTACTGTCCCTTGCTATCGTAAATTCGAATCAAACCCTTTGCTAAGTGGAAAACAACATGCACAAAATACTTGTTATCAATTTGCCACACATAGTACAATAACTTAGCCTTGCACCACTCCATAACCCCAGGTTTTGGCATATTTACTTGAGGATATAGCATCAGGGGTGTAATACACAAGTCTTGACAAGCATCAACTGTCTCACAAAATTCCAAATCCTTTCCCCCAAATCCTTTCCCTCTTTACTAGCAGCCTCCTTGATCTTATCCATGCAGTGCACATGTTGTTGCATAATGCAACATTTATAACAACATGACTACTGGTATAAAGGCGTGGACATTTTATGTTTCGTACATGCATCAGTGCCAAAAGTTCCTCCATATGCTAAATATTATAAAAAAAACTGCACGTTAAATATAGAGCTACTACCAAAAATAGAAATACACGCAATGAGTGATTAAGGGACTTACAAAAGTTCAAACGGACAGGTTAGCACCGCACAACTGCTAGAAAAACTCCAGCCATAGCTTCCAATCAATAAGTTTTTGGGAAACTTCTCCTTCTTGTCAAACCATTCATAGAATAGTTTCTTATCTTCCTGCAAAACTGGTTTGAGTACGTCTACCTTTGGTTTCAACTTCCTGCTCTGTTTCAGCTTCCTCATCTTGTTTGCAGAAATTGGAGCATTCCTCAAACTGCTTTGAAATCTTGTAACTCTGTACCAAGTTGACTTAACTACTTTAGAAGGACTCTCATTCTGATTTTGCATCTCCCCAAGGATCTTCAACACCTTATCCAATTTCTCATTCACAACCTTCAACTCTTCGCGCGCGTTTGTATCACTTGACTGAGCATTGCACATCCTGCATGGTCCTCCTCTACCAATATCAGAAAAATCACCAACTAGTGGTGAACCAGAAATACTCTCAACCAAAGGGTCATCATCAGAAATGTCAGCTTCATCATTAGTCTTTAAGCTCGTTGCACCAGGTGCTTTTTAATGGTAGTCACATATTCCAAATCAACCCTAGCTGGTCGATTATAGGATCCGCTACCTCATCGTCGTATGGTACCAAATTCTTCATGTAGTCCATATCCATCTCACTTAGGGTAGGGATAAGGTAAGGGTGCATGTCACGACCCAAAATCCATAAAGGTCGTGATGGTGCCGGACACCACTGTCAGCAAGCCAACAATAAATACTTAATTGGGTTCTCATTTTGTTGCTTTTAAAATCATATTTTCCTTCAATTTAAATAGTAAAGAATGAGGATTTACAGAGTAAATAATAATACATTTAACAAATTCAATACCGAACAACCCATAATCATCCCAAAACCCGGTGTCACAAGGGCATGAGCATCAACTAGGAAGGAAAATAAAATACAACATCTGTGCGAAATACAAATTTGGACAGGAGAAATATAAATACTCTGAATGAGACTTTGTTGGCTGTGGATCATAGTAGAGAGTGCAGCTCACCTAAGTCCCCGCAATAACCGCGCCTCTGCGCCCACAAGGCCTCTAGACATATATGTACCTGCACAAAAATGTGCAGCAAGTATAGTATGAGTACGTAAATCAACGCGTACCCAGTAAGTATCCCGCCTAACCCCGAAGAAGTAGTGACGAGGGGTCGACTTCGAC